CACATGTTCCAACCCCCAACCTGGAGGGCCAGGAGACTGTGTTCGTCAGACCTCTAACCATTGACCAACCTGGTATGAGAGACTCTGTGAGTATCGCGGGACACTCTCCAGTATAGCTCAATGGATCGCTGAGGTGCGGAAACCGTCACACCACGGTAAGGTCCAGTCTCTTCGTGACGGGACTATTTATCAAACCTTTATCCATTTACCAACCAGGTAGAATAGGCTCTGTGGATGCCGAGTGAGCATCATTCAGTACAGCTAGCTCAGTTGGTCACGGAGGTGAGCAGACCATCGTACTGAGATGAGCTTCGACCTCTGTGACGGGACCTTCCTATATAAGCTTGAATAAGTGTTTTTAACCCAGTGTGGCCCAATTTTAATGGCACAGTCGAATTGTCTGAAGTCGGTGCACTGGGTGGTCGCATTACCGTTACCCTGCCCCTCGATATTTCCCTTCACAAAAATCGAAAATGAGAGAAGCCTACTCTATGCGTCGTTGGTGGATCTGGAGTTGTTGGATCTCATTTTTATTCTCAAGTTAGTTTAAACGGCCTAGTTGAGACAAAGCTGAAAGACTACACTATCTTTGAATAATCCTGGTTGCAGCTCATCCGACCCAGAGGCTCGATGGAACCTCCAGACAAAAAGCAGGAAGGGGGTATAAATTCACAGAGCCCTTCTCGAGTTTTGCGGATTGAATGAAAGATGTGGATATAGGGGCAGACGACTTACTAAGCTTCTGAAAACATTCGGCCCAACGGTCAATACACTGGTTAATGTCATACTGAAAATTTCCAAAATATCCTTGATCACTTCACCAACAGTTGCTTTTTCGATCCTGTTTGGTATGTCAGGTAAAAAAAAACTCCTTCGTTGCGAGCGCCCTTCGATTTTACCAGATTTCTCACTGTGTTTGAGGTGGCGTCTGATAGCTTCTGTTGAGTTACGGCAGTGAAGCATCTGTGTTGAACACTGATGTTATGCTGTCGATGATGATGATGATGATGAGTTACGCTCAGTGTTCGAAGGGCTACGTCCAACATTAGAGAACATCAGTGACCGCTCTGGAATCTAGTTTTTCATTTTGTGAGATTTCGGAAACCACACGCCGAGTTCCCTACCCTAGGAATGGCTGCGTCTATCTCATCTGTGTTGTGGCTGACGTCTTCTGAAGCCTCGCATAAGCTAGTTCCTTAAATTCGCTTAACTCACGGGCCAAAAAGTTTTCAAAAGGTCAAACGAAGAGTTTTTTCTTAGGTTCCCCGGGGAAACTTATGGAAATTTCACACCGTACGAGAGCACGGTCTGAAATGACATGAGGGGTCCAGGACAATCAACGATCAAGAGCAGAGCCTCGCCATGGGACGCTAATGGCTGTTGTCAGTCTATAGCCGTCGGTAGAATGCCAGGTAGAACAACGGCGTCTACTGTGTCTGAACCCCGTACTACTGAGAAGCAACCGATGATCATCTGTACAAACTGATCACCAGCCTCATTACATCTTGAATCTAAGCTAAGCAAATCACCAAGTCGCGCATTTGTGCACTGAGGCCGCCGGTGACGATATCGAAGCTCCTCGTGCTGAAACGGAGAGTGACCAGTTCCGGTAAAAAGTATCTTTCACAGTTTGTTAGTGCATGTGTAGAAACTGCAAAAAACAGAACCGATATTATTGTTTTCGCTTACCCGCGCGGTTGTATGCAGCAAGTAAGGCAATGCGACCGGTGGCACCACGCTTATGACATGCGGTATGAATGTTATTTTATTTGTTAATTTCGTGTCTGTATGTGAATTGAGCTACTCTCAGGTCGCCCAAGCTTGGGAAAGTGGACGATTAGGGCCTGCAACCAAAACCTTTGGCTGGAAAGCCTGATTGCAAGATGGCGCTGTTTGGCGTGAGCCTATCACAGTGGCATAATTTTTATAGGGCAGGGTTAGGAGACCCATATCATTTGACCAACCATTACGAGATTACGAAGGTTGTATATAGTCCAAAGGGTCACGGAAATGCACAGGTCATCATACCACTATAATGTCAAGTCCCTTCGTGACTGTGCGCTCTTATCGAGTGTCACTTTTCCACAGTGAGTCACCATCTTGTCAGCAGCGCTTATCCGTTAAGTGTTCGCGGCATCGTGATGCTACTGAGGAACTCCTTTGGGTCGACTGATTTTCCGCAGTTCCAGAATAACGGCCACCGATCACACCAAACATTTCCAGTTTCCATCTAACATCAGACGCTTCCAATTTACGAAATGTAGAATACATGTATTGTCTGTTGCATTGTACAAATCTTCATGTGGGAAACGGTACTTCCGGTCAAAAGGCACCATCCAAGGTGTTCAGTAGATTTTAATTGGACAACATGTTTGTGCGCCTCTGTGTTAAAAGCGTATGAAGCGAGGTGTAAGAATTCCGACCAGTAAATCCAGTGGTCAACCAACGTACCTTGGTACGCGATCGCTGGCAAACAAACTGTTTGACTAATTATACAGACAGAAGTGTCCATCACCTGTAGGGTATTTATGCATGAAGGTTCTGGGCCTCATTCGGAGGGAGGCTCCTCGTTGTATTTAACAATTACGTGACTACACGGGACTCGTAAATCCAACCAATTTGAGTTCGCTGTCATTAACACTTATTTGACAGTCGGTTGTACATTAGGCTGCAGCGTTTCAGATAGTATGCATGCTCTTGTTATGCTCTTCGTGATGCCAATTTTCGCGGTTTGTTTCTTCTAACCAGTAGTATCCCTTGTGAAGGTTGAATTTTCAGTGTTTCCTTACTCTCCTTTGTTACGTCAGGTTTGCCATTCCAGCCGAACGTTGATCGTCAACCCTTTAGTTTGGGTCAAGTCAGCGGTGGACTGGTGGAACGACCGATGGTGCGGGCGGGAAATGAAGGGAACATCTCCGAACGATCAAATCAATCGTCCAATCACAATCGAAGACCGATTTCCGGACAGCTGGGCCAGCGACGCTTAGGCGTCACTGATCCAGAAGCTACTGGGGGTTGGTATCCTGTACGACGCCGGATTGTCGCCTCATATTGTCCTAATTCATTTGCCGACACGGCCGATTTCATTCCTTACGATTCCTCAACACGCTTGGAGCTTCATCCGAACACACCCAGTAACCATCAATCGTACCATCCGAGTGTCGCGAATTCGATAAACACACCAGACGTTTCTGGGGACGACTGCGTAGTTCCCGTTCGGCGTCTTAACCGCTGGGGAAATGAGGAAGCTGATATCAATTGCCATTGATGAACTTTTCACTAGTTCTCATCAACGGCTGTTGTGTACATAGATGTAAGGGTATTGGGCACCCCCTTCAAACCATAGACTGCGGCTCAATGGCTCCCGTTTAGACAGTGTAGACTGTACATAGCTTCACTTCGCAGTCCAACCTGTAAACCTCTGCGCGTTTTCGAATCCCTATTCATTCTCCCATAGTGTGCTCATATTGCTTTTCTCTGCACATATCACTCAAGCAAATAATTCCTGGGGCAGTGACAGGCACAGTTTGCTCCATGTATTGTGTTTAATCCCGGTGAAACAACCAACGACTGACCAGCAGTTTTGTCTTTTGTCTATTTACCGGGAATATGCTGGGAAACTGGGATAGGTTTCATGGCGTAAGAGCTCGGGATAGCTCAGTGTCTAAGGCGCAAGCTTACTGACCTGAACGTCCTTCGTTCGAACCCTACCTCCGCATCTCAACTGCTTACGTCTGGACTTGGGCAGCTTGGCAGTATCCCAGCCCTTGCGCTCCCATCGGGTGGCATGGTAACTAGCCACAGAAACAACGCCACAAATCAATGATTATTTATTATTATCATTATTTCATGACACAAACCTCAAGGTGTTTCCGCCTTGTTGTAGCTCGAGTTAAGCGTGCTCCTTCGGAGCAGCGAAAGCATTCGGGAATATGTTTAGCGGAGTTTTGTCTCTTGCAGAGAAGTCGAGTGCAACTGAAAACCTGAGCAGAGTCTGTCATTCGTGACTACAACTGCCATCAAAAAGTTGGACTAGTGTCACCATAGCATCACTGAGACCCCTGATTTCTTAGTATGATACATCATACATACATACATCATGATAGTGGTAGGAGATCATAAGTACGCTCAATACGATTACAGACTGCTGTAGGTCTCATATCCATAGGGTGTATTGTTCATCAACGTTTCACTGCATATTCATCAGTCTGAATAAAAACCAGTTATGGAGGGGAAAAGCATACTCTAGCAGCTTCCTCTGTTCCGTTTAGCACTAGACTAATGGCGGCTTTATTACCATAAATTATCTACGCTTCTCGTTTGGCTATCATGGCTGGAGCAGTCGCTTATCATTGCAATGCTTGAAGGTGCAACTGATGGGCAAAGTACACGAATGCTTTGCGGACTCACCAGGTATATTCCGGTGAGCATAAACAGTCGGCGGGTCGATCATGGGCGTAATACTTAGGCACTTATGGAGGCTATGCATACAACGGATCCGACATATTGCGATGCTCTATCAAGCTCAACGGTTGATATCCGACTCGAGGGGTACTCATCATAACAAAGTTGAGTACTAGTTCTCGCCGCTCGTGCACGATAACGGTGGAGAACCATCACGATTAATCCTATTGAAGTACGTCTGTCCACGAAAAGTTTGAACAAAGATAAACCTATTCTATGAACTTTGTCACGACTGCTTGAAATGAATTGTGTAGGATGTTTTTTTTTGCTTTCCATTCGACTCCAGCCCATAGGGTCGTGAAATTTCATTTCATGTGAGCGTTGTAATTTACTGAGCTGCTCACAGTGTAGTCACGTCTGAGGACTTCGAGTCGTAGGGTTGGTATGTTCCTGTTCTGTTTTCACATCTGATTTTGCCACTGAAGTAGACTTCCGAAAAATTCAATTCATATTGTCTCAAATAGGCATTTGCTCATACGGAAATGCATTCTCCTCAGTTGTTGCAGAATATCGTATGGGCATACCTCGAACAAGTAACCGAATGTGCAGATATCATCCATGGATGCAATACAACTACCCAGACCTCAGCAAACTTCTCAGGCAGCTGATTCATCTTATATCGGTATAGGCCTTTTTTATCATAAGGGCGATGAGATACCAACTCAAAAAAAGACCGTCAGATTTCGCGTGGCTTAGTAATCAGGACGGCGATGGAACTCTCATTTTTTCCCGGCTGACCCCAGTGGATGGACTTCTTCGCACCATCTTTGTTCAATCGAGTCGCGAAGCAAGTGGGCGCAATGGTATCGCACAGTCACTCGTTCGTCAAATGGCCAAGTGGCATACACCGAAGCCAGCAGAATCCGACCTGTTTCATTTGGTGCCGCACTGTAGAAAACATTGAGATAACCACTCAAGGGACTCAACATCCACACAAGCTGATTATGCAAATCACGCAAATAGCCACTTCATGTTTCCTGAGACCTATCACTATATCAACAGTGTAAGCGTTACGAGACCGAAAAAACATTATGTATAATGTAATGGATAATGGTTAGACAAACATGGGCTAGCTCCGTGTGGCGGTAACCTGAGAACAGACTGGATCAATGACTGGAGATGGGTTCAAAAGCTGCAATATTGGAAAGATGAAAATAACGTGTTTGCCTCCAGGTCAATTAGGATCCTTCTGAGTGAGGTACTGAACGAGTATGACACCAGCAGAACAGCCATATTCGCCGTACTCGCTATATTCGGAAGTGACTGGATTATGTCGTCTACCGGGACGGCTTGTTCTCCATCTCTTCCTCAAAGTGGCGATTAGGAAACATTTTGGCGCCGCTAGTGAGACTTCGTCGACCCCTGTGCTTCGCTGCAAACGTTGCAGGCTATGGTGACTGGTCAGTGGTATTCGACCACTCCAGTCCTATCTAGATAGTAATGTACGTAGAGGTGGGCATTCAAGACTTATTGCGGTAATTTAGCATTATTGAACATCAAATCTCTTCACTTCACTATCAAACCAGCATTAGGTTCTCTCCCTGTCCAATCTTTTCTATGCCTTAGGTCTTTTTATACGAATGAAACCAACTTATTGGTTGCGACACGGAAACGTGACAACGCCATGATGACGACGGTGACATCCTGATTAGTTCTCTAGAAACTGCATCCCAGCAGTGACCCGTATATTCGGTGTACTTTACGCGTCAATGTTTCGGGAATGTCCCTAAACTGGCAGTGAGATTTAATAACTTCCTATCGGAATAGCACATTTCTGAACGTCGATTATTCCATGTGTCATCCCCATCAAATCCATCGGTGAGCTGCGTCAATAGGTACTATTCGACCTTGCAATCTTTCAACTACGTTATGTTCATACGGTTCATAAAACGAGGTAGTTTGAGGCCTTACCAGGAGCTCGTTGCAGTTAGAAAATTTTTTACCTGAAAGCATCTGTTCAGCCACATGTTCTAGTAGTTATCCAAAACCGCCAACCCCCGTACCCGGACGAAAACGTAACTTTTAAACGTATCTTAGTGAAGTCCTGTAAATAACCGGTATCGAGATCTAGTGGGGTATTTCGGCTACTGGATGAATAACCGTATCCAGAAGTGAACAAGGCCCGCTGAACGAAAGGACTGGTTATTAGACGATCATCATGAAACTTGAAACCACAAACGCGACGAAATCTTCTGCTCGGGCAGTCAATCAATGCACAGAAGCAGTCAGATTGGTCGAAAAAGAGGCATTGGGACAGGTGAATACGACTACATGAGTTATTCGAAAGACCAGCACAGAAAATGTTAGCAAGCAGTCCCGGAAGTAAGTGTTCATAACTTTTATATTCAAATCGAGAGCAGCACTCCGAAGCAACATTATACAGATTAACAATGACCAATGGGTACGAGAAGTCGGGGCCTCAATGTGATTAGTTTGGTTCCATATGGGAACAGGTAAACTGAGCAAGCAAAAGCAACTTCATCTGATTCATACAAAGTTGTGGCAAGAGGGAGAGAGAAACAGGGGATACACCCAGAAACCGCATGGAGTGAATGCGACCGGAAGGGTCAATCACGTGTAATGATAAGATCCCAACAGGCGGGTAAAAAATTGATTGTGAACTTCTAACTGGATGACAAATCACCAGTCAACCAGAATAGAAACATGAAAGACGAAGAGGCGGTATGGGGTTTCCGTAAGTTTTCTTTTGGACTGTCGGGATCACTTCGGTTTGTACCCAAGCAGTTTATTCATTTGCTGATTTTGTTTGTTCATTGTTTCATTGATACTATTTATTCGAGGGGCCATTCGATCTAACTGCTCGTTTTGTGCGCGCAGCTCTTCGTTCATGCCCTGAGCAAGACCTTTGAGTCGAGACATTCCGTCGGACATGAGATTGAGATTTCTTTCATAATCTGAATCGCCAGTCGCACTCTCAGAAACCTGTTAGAATAGAGAGGAAATCAAAGGCAACAATGATCTCATAGTGAAGGTCTTGTATCGGGTGGCATTTTTACCGATCTAACCTACCAACATTGCAGTTTAGTTTACATATGCATTCCATCGTGCCAGGCGCACGTGAAGCTTCCGCGCATGCTTCCTCCGCATAAGAAACACCATCTGGGAACACCCAAACTGCTTACCTCGAGGTATTGCTTAGCTCAATCCCTCAGAAAGCCAAAATCAAGAAGGCTGCGAAGACTTCGCATTGTAAACATTCATCATCATCGACAGCATGACATCAGTGTTCAACACCGATGCTTCACTGCCGTACAACCATGACTTATTTGAAAGCCTTATTGTAAAGAAAAGAATAAAAAGGTGGACGGGAAAGGGACTTAGTGCTAGATTGCCACAATCATTACGAGGTGCCTACACCTCCAGACATTCACTCAGGCGATCTGGATAGAAACTGACAAGATCGCCACTGACATCGGTTAAAAGCCATAGTTTAAAGTGTCTCCAACCAGGTACAGTGAGGAGCACGCGGTCCCCATCCTGGAAGGCGAGTAGCACCGACAGCACCCAAGTGTTTCGTGATCTCCTTCATACCCATCTGTCAGGTCGAGGGTTGGTCACCTCTCTGCCTACGCCGTTATGAGTTGGGCATGGAAAACAGAACCCTCTTCGGCAAAAGATGGTTAGGCATACGCAACACATGTCCCAATCAACGTAGCTTCTGGTTGTGGCACAACCGAAAACTCGCTTTCTAACTGCCTCGTTACGGATTCGCGGACACCAACCACACGAGCAATCGTTCTGAGACAACGATTGTCGATTGTCTAAAGACGTTCCAGTTCCGCTGTTCCAATAGGCCATTACACGGTTGTTGCCGAATTTACAACCAAACGGGAACGATAAGTAAAGAAGTTCGCTGACAATATTCCCGTAAGAATATTGTGCGGTCGAAGTTCGGCTAACTACTGGTGAGTCTACTCGGCTTGTTCCGGATATGCGCATTTACAAGAAACGCATTTCTCTACGCAGGTGAGCCATCCTGACGTTATTCACCTACATCCTGTTTGTTATTAACTATGCGTCCACCAAACAACAACTGACCTATGGGTCCGTAATCTTCCACTTTTTTTGTCCTGTTTCGCTATGGAAGGTGAAAAGTGGAAAGCTGAAGTGGTGTTAAAGCAATCAGCCAAATCGTCGCAGAGTCGTGGGGTGGGAATAATCGAAGATCTTTTGTGGTTCGGATCCGCTTCGCTAGAAAACGGATGGGACTCATATGGGTGCAGTTTTGTTTGTATTATTTTCACCTCGTAAGTGGACGGTGTTTACCGCTTGCCAACGAAGGAGTTTCACACACGTGGAGAAATCGTGTTGCAAAAAATCCAACCCCAAAAGTGATCCCCAAAGATGTTTCTTAGACGACGGTTTCCTGGAAGGAGACAGCACTTCAGTTCCTCAAAGCTGACCGACGTAAACAGACATTTGGTTATCGCATCAGCAAAAATCCCCACATAAGTTCAGTTGGAAAAAAAATAAAAGGACGATTTACCGGTTTTCCCGACTGACCACTGGAGTGTGTAATTGTAACCTAATATACGTCCCCGACACACTGCTGAACGACCCCCGCCTTCCGCTACCGGGGTGAGGTACCAGCCAAACGAACGCACAGAGCACACGGATACCGTTGTTTGCGAGAAAATGGGTCTTACAGTCAAAAAGTGACGGCCAGAAGTATCCACAAGGGAATTTGGAAATCACATGTATATGAGGGACTCAATAGTCTCCCGTGAGAACCCAGTTGATATGCAGATGAGTGCTCTGTCGAGATCTGTCCATTTTGGGTTCAAGTGAAACATAAAGTTGACGGAAACTCAGAGAGCTGCACCTACCTGATGAGCCCCAAGAAGGGCTAAACCAGCTGTCAAAGAGCTTTCAGCAACCTTCCTTTATGAAAAGACATACTACTTTGGGTTTTCCGTCCCGAATGTACATCAATAAATGGTTGCATTTAAGGGTCAACAGATAGGAAACATCAGAAGCAATCGTGAAAATACACAAGCAACGCATTATGAGGTTCCAGTGAATAACTGAATTTGAAGACAAGTCTGACACTCAAACTGAATAGGCCACATAGCGGACAGTAAGTGCACAACGGGCATGCTGCAATAGCAGTTACCGTGCAGATGGAGGTTCCGCCCACATTTAGAGCGGTGTGTCAGTTACTCGAGTTACTAGAAACAATAAAAGGCTAATCATGCAGGTAGTCTTCGCATTCCGCAGGAGTTTAGGCTATGGGCTCATTGTTTCCTGACGGATTGGTCATCAGTTGCTGCTGGCCACAGATATCCATCCCTGATTCGCAACTCCTACGACAGATCTTACGACTAGCGAAATTCACGACATGCAGTTGATACAAGCAAGAGGACAATGAGGATAAAGGAGCTACATGCTGTATCTCAAAATCTTCATTCCAGTTCCCCATCGCCTCACCATTGTTCTTGTCCTTGTCAGAAATGTATACCTGACAGCGAGCAACACGTGGGAATCTGAATTTAGAGTTTAACATACACCGTTTTCTTGTAACGCTGTATTTTGGCAGCAATATAAAGCGCACAAAGCTCGCGTAAGGCTGGAGCTTGCGGTTCTAACGCAATGTATACAACAGAAAGATCATCAGTGTCGTTAACTTCCATCGACCCATGGTGTGGCGCTAGCTAGGAACGGTAAGGAACACCCGTAGTCAATGTACTGAATTGGGGGCGACCAAGAGTGGTGAGTCCTAAACGTTCGTACAAGTAGGATATAACGCTGTTGCTTTGATATTTTGCAGGGTTTATGGTGCAACCTCTTTACTACGGATCAAATCTGTCTCTGACTTTTATTATGCTTGGAACAACCTGACAGTATCTCTGCTATCGTGCCTCATTCTAGTACCTGATAGGTACGCACCACAAAGATCCTGCAAAGGAATGATTCTAGTAGCTCTGAAAGCTTTTGTAAATTGATCATGGAGGAAATCACACCACGCTAAACACGGAAACTATTGTCAGTCTGTTCTTGACTGTACACGAAGAGATTACATACAAATGCAGGCTCTTGGAATTCCAGCGTCGTTACAGTGGGTATTCGATAGTGCCATAGAATTCGAAAATTGGGTGATGCAACAGTCTTCTACGAGCAGATATAGTCACCCATTGACAACCGTACACCAATCTTCAAACCCAACTCGCAAACAGCAGGTGTGCAACAATAAAATGGTCCTAAGTGTTTCTTTATGCGCGGCATGAATAGAAGAAGCAATCTACCTATCATAAGCCGTGGGACCGTTGGAATCAATGCAACTCTGGCGCACGAACTATGGATGAGGAACACGAGTACGACAGCACAGCAAGAAAAAACATTTGCAGTTCACTTTAATTTGTAAAGCTAACTTACCAAGTCAACAGAACGATGAAATCTATCAATAAAGTAGCTGAAATGCTAAGTGGAAGGATGTACAATCCTTCGGGATCCCCGTTTATACTTCCGGAATGGAACCTTGTTGTCAATCCTTGATCGCAATAGTAGAAAGGACTTGAAGACGGTTGTCAAGTACAAAGCCTGTTAGCTAAAGTCTAATCCGCGCAAAATCCAGGGTCCGAGGCCCTGGTCCAACTCCTCTAATGACCTCTTCATCCTTTCTGATTAGACCTTGAGTATTTGCCTGTACATCAGCTCCGCTGGTTGCTACAGACTGCACAACAGCTACAGCACACCACAGACAGATACATTTTACTGCTAACACTGTGGACGTAGGACGAGGTCAATACAGATGGCGGTAAAAAATTTATTCGAAAGATTCGAATGAATTGCACACTCACCATTTGATTATTTGGTAGCTGACTACCCCATGAAGGAGCTTGCAGAGAGGACTTGAAGGCTGTTGGTGGCGCTGGAGTTGGTAATGGCGCGGGAGCTGGTTCCACAGGGGCTGGTGGTCTAAACAAATGCGGAGAACAGGCGGTCTCTGAAATCGGAAGCTGTGTTTGTAAGCGAATCATTGTGAAGCTTCATCGTTTGTGAAAGGTATCCAGCTAACTTTGGATTCACTAAAAGCTTACGGAGTAGAAAAGCTTAGAAACCTTGTCGTAACCGAACCGAGTGATGCAAAATGATGGAATATTCTGGGATGCAAATGAAAATCAGATGAGCTACAGGAGGGGGTAATGAAGTAACGGTAAAATCTTCGTCTTATCCGCACCGAGGTGCACGCTCAGCATACTTGCATGCATTTAAGGTGTGACATAAAAATTCCTTGGTCTCATACTACGAGCAAAAAGGACTGAAGGCAAAAACAGGACGCTCAGTGACGAATTATGGCGACAGCCCGTGGTCATCTGGTTTATTTCCGTTCCATTCTATCTACACTATATTGAATGCGGGAACTCGAAAGCCCTAAAAAATGACAGTACGGCTGTGACGAACGATTCGCGAAATTCACTAGCTAACCTATATGCAGCACATTTGGTTGAAGAGGAATATCACGAATGATCAATTCAGCTGGGATTCAGTTGTCCCCTGTTAAGAACAAATTAGCGTGCAACTGAGTGTATTCACAGAAGTGGCATATCCCATGATTTATCAGCTAGGTTTTCCAAATTTAGCCCTTAGACAGCAAAGATGCAACCGTGGTCGCGTAACATTAGGCTATACATGCACTGTTAACCGTGAATGAGTAGCACATGCAATGCAAATATGGATAAAGGCGACGTAAAAATACAGCTGTTGAGCATAAGAAGTGACCTACTTGCGAGAGAACCAATTCCGTATACCACCGAACACGCTGGATAGCGTATTGATTTGTCGCTGGCTGTCCTTTTGCAGCTGACTGATGTCATCCAATCGCCGTTCGGCGTGAGAAAGTTTTTCTCCTTGATTTAACAATTCTGCTGCAGTCTCCACTCCAATACGCTCAGAGCTCGCTATGCTTGCTAATGCACGTTGCTGGCTAGCTTGGGTTCTGGCTCTGCTGTCGGACAACTGGGACTATGAGGAAGAGAATATGACGAAGGGAAAATGATGACACAGTACACTACCGAATCCCCAACCAACAATACACAGGTAACAATTCACAATACGTAAGAGCAGCACTGCATTCCCGATGAAATATCAGAATGAGTGGTTAAAATGGAGAATAGTCTTTGAGGCGGTAATAGGTATCAGATCATCGAGGTGTGGGGAGGCTTCTGACGAGTAAGATAGTAGCTCCCTATAGGGATCCTAGTTAAAGACGGAAGTTTAGGCCTTATATCCATCGAGGACTGTCTACCTTATGTGGTGCAAATTTTGTTTTCTGGTGAATGTTCTTGGGCGCGAATGAGGATCAATAACGAGACTATTAACCACTACTGGAGGCTAGTTTACACCATTTTGTGAATCATGCACCAGCAAGTAAGCCATAAAAGGGAGCTGCTGCCATAGTTGTCGTTTGATGGGACTATATCGTACGGAAAAACGATCAGTGAAACGCCACATAAAGCTTAAACAGATGCTATTCACGACCATACGAATAGCCTAACATAACAACTGCCAGGAATATTCTTATATTAATACGCGTTACTTATGTCCCAGGATCCAAATACGAACCACCACCTCGCGAGCGTGACAACAAAGGGTCAAGACCCGACCCGCATGCCAATTTATGCGCATAATAGCCAACAAAGTGAATTGTGTTGAAACCTACCTGAAAACTTGTTCACAGTTTTGGGCTGAGTCTGACGGAAACATAACTCTCCATTCAAGATAAAAATCTTTCAGCCGTAGCACCCCTTCGGTGTCTAGCTATCAAGCCACCCGAGAGAGGCGCGAAGGCCGGGATACTGTCAGGTCGCCAAAGCATCATCATCCTCAAACTTACACAAGAGCAGTCTAGCGCCCGGATTAGGTTGTAACCGCGGACCTCCTGGTCAGCAAGTTTGCGTCTTAAGCACTGATCTATCTCGGTCTTCCCCCATTCAACTGGTCGACGGAATGAATGACTACGCAACCATCACGAATTCGAAGTAATAGTTGACCCACTGTAAACCTTTCGTCAATACATCGGGTTTCCGAACTTCTTCCATGGACAATGCCCTTTCATTCGCCATGTTTCAACCAATCTGGTGTCCGATGACGTCGTAGCTGTCCATGGTATTAGACTTGACAAAAAAGAGGGAATGCGACTTAGGGGATTACAGACAAGTGGAGGCCTGCGACGCAGAAAACAAGGAAATGAAATGTACCACACACTTGAGGTGGCATTTTGTCACTGTACTGTAGAAGTAAGGACGTTGTCCAGTGACACGATCCAACAGTGACAACGATATCTGCAGTTCAGAGAGAGCAGTTAATGAGTGAGTTGTTCGCTCAGTTTGGAATTTTTGCGGGTATTTTTTCATTTTAAACATATACATCATCAGCACCTGGTAGTAGCAGTTGTGCGACAAAAGGTTTGTGTAGCTCGATCGATTCCTATAAAGTTCAAAAACTTACGTGTAATTCGCCATAACCAAGGAAAACTGCTCGCAATCGGGCACCCAACAAAAGTATTTCACCTTCCTCTAGTAGGCCAGGTAAGCCCTGTCCTTTCGCGGGAATACTGTAGTGGCCACCAAAGATGAAAATATCTGACGAATATTACATCAACGCATGACTGGATCCACATAACTGTCATAATAATAGTCTGGACTTATTTGGAGGTGAGCACTGACGGAAAGTTTGGCAACTGTCTTGGAAGAGGACAGCAATATTGATAAGCATTCCCAGCAATTCTACAGCAATTAGTTAGCGTCACGGATACGCCGACCGAGGTCAGGCGATTGACCAGCCGAAAGCTTAGATATCAACCTGGTGTAGTTCTCTTCTTCCGAAAGAACTTTCGCTACGCTCGGTCAGCACCGCACCCATTGGCACGATGGCCATCAGTAGTGATAATGGACCCCACTGTCTAGCAGCTCTGATAAAAATAACGGTAGACAGAACCTGAGAAAGTATCGGGAAAAAAGGCTCGGCCGATATATCAGTACATAATACACCGGTGGCTATTCCAGAAAGTATTCGTCATTCAAGGTTTTTTAAAGGGTGTGGAAAACAGCCCGTACCTGTATGCTATACGACCCTCCGGAAACGGAAGCCTCTGTTCCAAGCCATGACGTTCCTCTGTGATTTTGAGTGCTACCTATCGAGCCAAAACCGCCAACTTCTTCCTCATCAAATGGATTGCCCGGCATCCTGTCAGGAAAACGACCATCCACTGAAACAAGAAAACCCTCCGATTTAAATCTTGTAAAAACCTACTCTTCTCCATTGCACATTGAAAACAAGCAGCGAAAACGTTTGAGAATGAGCAATATTTTGATTGAGAAATCAATGCTTCGCAATGAAACTGTTTGTGATTGCCACGCGAGTCGTAGGAGCATCAGGACTGAGATACCACCCTCATAATCAGTACCAACATCAACACTGATAAGCACTGCTGCTTAGCTGTCTCACAACGGTTAAAAGAAGTCCTATAGAAGTTGGAAGTAAAGAGATGAGTTTTGGAGCTCTTCAAAAAGGTCTGATGTTCCCAGGAGGAACAATCGGGAACAAATCACCTGGACATTCCCCCAACACTGAAAAACTCAGAATTTTGCGAGTGGGAAAGGCCCAGCACCCGCAGCGAACTGCAACTTACGTGAGCTCAGTAGGACTCTGACAGGGCAGTCCATGTTTTCGTCCAAGATGTCATGCACTTCTATTTATATAGATATCAGCATCAGCAGTCATCGCATTATCCAACGATCTTTCGGTCAGCTGTACACGCTAGTCATATGCATATTCAGTCCAAGTCTAAGCGATTAGTGTGATATGATTTCGACATCGAGCGGAGCACAAAAAACGCCGCTTCTGCTGGTGGGATTCTGTATAAATGTTGGGCGTCATGAATTAACCCGTTAAGGCTGACACGACCGTGTTGGGAAAGCATCCAACGGGTTGACCGCCCTCAGTCATCGAGCCCTCAAAAGATTCAAGTCTAAGGCAAGCTTTGCTGTAGATGTACTATGCTACTCACAAGGCTCCTGGAATCTATTGGACATCCCATAATCGTTTTAGCTTTGTTAGGGTTCGTCGTTTTCGGGTCTTGCTACCCGTTCTGATCCGAACACTTGTGGCATGTTCAGAAAATCAGATATTTGGGCGTTCATTCGTATCCCGATAATCTGGAATGAGAGTGATGCCCTTCAGTGTACTGCGAGGGTTGGTTTTCACATCTGATCGAAAAGCAGATGCCCTTATGGGAAGAAAGATGTTTCCGGTCGATTTCAGAGCACGCACTAACAGTAAGCGGGCGAACCGGACGAATGATCGACCTCGTCACCTATCTATTTTCTTCACGGACATTGCGCCTGAACATCCATGGATTCAAATTCTATCACAGTGTAGAATTGCCCTCCGGAGTGGTTCTGTTTAGAATTTCGTCCATCCGTTGTTTATTCGTAAGACGTAGCAGCAACAGATCCCCAAAACTCAACCACCTGCCAGTCGACGAACATCAAGTTTCTCTCTGCATCGCGCCGTCCCCTCAGTGGGATTCAATGTATATCAACCGTGACGCCATACTGTATTGGCTGTTTCCAGATCATTCACTACTGCAATCCGCGGCTACAGCTTCCTCAGATAGACCGCTCAACATGTTAGCCATCGTTTACAGTAGCACCCCATAGTTTTTTTTAAGTTTAACCCTCTATCTATGATGTTTAGGTTTTCCTCTTGAACGGCTGTAATATGCACGCTATGGAAGCACCAGGGGACAGTGATTCTCCGAAGGCAGGTGTTCACGACAATTTCTATGGATGGAAAACAGAAACAAAGCTCATGAGCCAAAGCCCAGTAAGCAAGGTTGTACATCACCAATACTTACATATGAATCAATCAAAATGACAGACACTGTATACTACAGGCCGCGTCGGTTTTCGGAGAAGGGTCACACGGACCAAAGCAAGAGCATATACCATCAGAGTATGAGTGAACCAATTACGGCTCGGGAGACGGCGTGCCCTGATTGGTCAGCATGCAAGCGCATCAGTGCATTAAATGCCAGATATGTAGGGCTTCTATCCATGTAGGCCACACTGCCATGACCCAAATGGAACTAAGGACTTCTCGCCCAGCAAATTTCTCCTCCTGAAACGCTGATGCAACCGAGCTCTTGTCTCTGAGTTCATGGATCCATAGGTTCACGTGTTTTCCCTGCATCCAAGATTCACGGATTGTGAATTATTCAGGTCAGTGCTTTGCCAAGAATACTAGATCTTGTTTGTTCTCGTCGTTCATCACTCTTGGTTTACACAAAGGGTGCAGGATGAAAAATGTGTTGTATTGCACGCCAATGTTTCAGCGTTGGGTAGCAGTCTCGCCAGATAGTGTACCTACGTAATGGTGCACTTGAATGTGATTTGCAGCGTAGCCAACAGTGCAATTAGGGATAATGGGCACTATACCTACAGAAATGATAATACTTGCCGTAAAGCTAAACTGTGCTCTAATTCTGAAGGGCTTTCAGTCAAGTTCCCGCCGTGTGCTGACGGGGTCACCGGCAGAAATCATCGATTCTCCTCACTCAAATAGGACGTCACTAAGTGTGAGGACCCAAGAAGTGACGATAGTTGTGAGGAAGGAGATCACAGATCCCAAGTCCACAAACATATTCAGTGAATCTAGCTAAGCAAGCACAATAGGTGCCCCTCCTGTGAACTTTTTTCAACTTGACTTGCCCTTACTGGACATCGTGTTAAGAGGAAATGGTCGCTCCGTAATCCGGAGCCAGGCGAAAGAGCTCCGAAGGAGCTTCCACAAACAACAATGGACCAAGAGCATTCCGCTCGACGTAGCCTGGCGCACAGTTTTTGGCACCGCGCCGTCACGGTCATTGGCAGAGTTGTGGGTTTCCCAGCACTACGTATTTGGGCGAGGGAAGTTTTGTTGCCTACAATTGATTACTGGTGTGCACGCACGCTGTCGAACCCAATTAATCGTTTTTCAATAGTCGGAATCAGCAAATATGCTCATGCGTGTGAGCCCCGTACTAGGCACTCATCGATTACATTGCCATCATTGACTTCAGTTTTTCCCCACTGCCCAATTTGGGATAACAGAGGCCGAAACAGCGCAACAATTAGCACAGGATGAATGAAGACAAAAAGTGACAAAAACAATGAAATGCTGAATTTTCTGTTTTGTAAACTACTCGTAACTGTGTTTTCTTTTCCATGCCGGCTTTGGCACGATGAGGTGCACAATATCCGTTTCGCAAATCCTCAAGTTGTACTTTATTCTTATTGTAAGCGTATGATCACTCTTGACGGTATACTACCTACTAGTTAGGAATAAACAATATTATTATTATTACAAAGCCAAAAGCGACCGTGGGTTATCGAATAGATCCCACGTGAGTAGCATATTACGTCTACAGCAAGGCTTGCCTCAGACATTGCAGTGTTTATGATCGTACCGTTGTCGAAATTCTTTTCTGAATCCTTCAGCATAATGCTTGGGCTCCTTTTTACAGTGTCTTCCTTAAACAGCACAATCAACCACTTTATTTCTAGCGCAAGGACGGTCCGGTCACAAGCCTTAAGCCACGGATAGGCCCAGAATATTGGCTGCACCTGAGGGCCACACTCAAGCGGCTTTAGAACCGATGAGAAAACGGAGAGCGTGCTGTGCTCATCGTGGTTGTTCCTGTAGATAGCCGATAAATATAGTTAGTCGAATACGAGGAAAGCAACCGCGACATACGCAGGCACATAGCTCACTCGGGCTGCACTCAAAAGCAAAAGCATGGTTGAAAATCGGGTTGAATTTCAAACATAGATCGCCGAGACTGCATGTTAGTCGCATTTGGAAAATCTTCACTTTCGAGCTGCGTACTCTTTCGCAGAATCGTTGCAGGTATCTTCCGGGGGCCCGTCTTCAAGCTTGTCTATTTTCTCCGGGATTATTTCCATCCCATTTGGTCCTGGAAAGTGAAACTCTTCTAATGAGATGTCTTCACATTTGAGGTCGTTGACACCGCATTATCGTCATTTGAAGTTGGCGGGCAAAAAAGAGCGAGAGAGGGTAAACCGAGAGACTTCTTGCCTGACACATGACAAGAAAGGTGTAACGGTGAAAAATGAGGAACCAGAACATCAGATCTGGTGAAGCAGCGGAGTTGACATCGTCCACTCGGTCATATCAAACTAAAAGCTAAAACCACCGCTAAGGCACCGTAGCCTTGAACGTTTGGACTCATGGACAGGGGACAAAAAATGTCAGTGGGGGGTGACGACTGAATGGCAGTCCCGTGTAACGTATGGTACTTATTCCATACAGCTAAGGGGAACTTTTATTTATGCCTTTTAGCACTTTTATGTACTTTTCAGTTACTGGTGTGTGACAAACATTTGATTACTTCTTTATCTATTTGAGAGCAAAATTCAAAACATTTGGGTATTACCCACGGCTTCGTGTTTGGTATTTGTTTTAACCATTACTTCGCTCATTAGCCATACTTTTCTCCCTCTTATCATTCTAATCTGAAACTTCAAGCCCGGCAGTTTCTTTATCATGGATGACTAGTAGCCTGTCTCAGTATAACTACAAGCTTACCCTGCTACGGTCGCCATACAGGTACCCACAAATATGTGCATCAAACCTGTCCATCAGTGGAGCAACCAGTCTGCGCGATGCATTACTCGGCTTTTCGTGGGGACTGGCTAACGTGTCGTTTACCGTCAACATACGATATCCTGACACGGTTTATGGAAGTAATCAGTACTAATAATGGTACTGGTAACCTTTCGATGGTGGAGTGCCTTCATCAACCGTATGATCATTGCATTTTACCTGTATATTGCATAGCAATATCTCAAATATCATACCGACTGAAAGGTGAGTCATACTGATACAGAAGATGCGGTTGCCTACAGACTTCATAAACGAGAGATTCCGCTGGGTTCCTGGTAAGCCTCGTGTCAAACCCAATTTCTTATGAAATTATTTTGTTTTGTTGACCGAAAAATTATTTCAGGCTGCTAAAAAGTTATAGATTTTAGTTGTTATATCATTCACAGTTTTCCCGCGTCCATTTTTTGCCTGTAAACCACAGTCGGCTATTTGGGTGCCAAACATTAGGTGCATTTTCACACTTTTTACGGAACTTTTACATTTTATTATTCAATCGCCTGTAGGATGATTATCCATAAGGCAATGCTGTATCAGGTAGTTGAACACAAGGAGGAGCCATTTGCACCTATAGAAAAGCTGTACTCGGACGTAAGTAAAACCCAAGACGAGTAATGGATTGTCAAAGTTTCGTACCCTTGTTGCGGTGTCTACAGGCTTGGTAGACTGGCACAAAAAGCGAGCATACACAAGAAGAATTGCGTTGATGCGATCAGACACGGAGACATGACGCAGTACCTTTGTCGGATTGACTTTCAAGTGATACGCCGTGCAATCTCTTGGAGGCGTCTGGATTATTCACGACATCTTGTTGCGGGCACATCTTGCTGAATGTTTTAGCTTTCACTGTGACTGTGATTTATCGTCAGCAGATTTCAGATTATTTGGGCCATTTAATTCATACTTATGACTTAGCTGATGCTATCCTACTGATTCAGTTTTTCAAAGAACATCGACCTCCCTACCCCTGTTTTTTGGTTATCTTTGGCATCGGTCTGCTTAGCAGTGATGCTATATTGATATCAGGCTATTTTTGATGGCCTGCTTGATTGCTGTCTTACATAAACTATTTCGTTTTCATTACAAAATGTATATTATATTTATACCTGGAAGCTAATGTTCGGAATGTTTGAGTATTGCCCTTTGATGTTCTGAAGATAAGAATGCGCAAACGTTCTCTTCGGCAAATCAGCTGCAAATGTAGTCCAAAACACTGCTGATTGCAGCGCGAAATTACCTCCACTGCTTCCCCGGCCATCACATGACGCAGGGTATATACAAGCACCCGCTTTAAACCTACACACGTAGATCATCAAGAGCAACCTTGAAGGATGTGTGCACAAGCACAAAGTGGTTAGACAATTTTAGACAAATCCACGAAGCGTATATGAACAGACGAGATATGCAACCACTATCTTGTCGGACTGACCGCGCGCTCTGAATTATAATGGTGGACCACAATGTAGAATAACAATTCGACAGTGGAAGAAAGTGGATAAATTCCACGAACCTTTTTTAGTATGATTCATGGAACCAAATACTCGTCGGGCTACTGAAAATTCATTGAAGGCCCACGATCGTTTTGTCCTGGTTGGGGCTCATCATCTGGGTACAATCCATGATGCTCCGTTAACCTTACACTGTTTAC